CCCGCCGTTCAACTGCAGCTCGGGCGACTTCATCTTCTGCTGCGGGACTTGTGGCTTCCGGTTCTGTTGCACGTTTAAGAAGAGGCGACTGAACCAAAGCACCTGCACCAACTACGACACGCCGCTCTGGCTCAACACCGGCAAGCCCCCTGCGCGCAAGGACGACCCCCTGCACGACCCCACCAAGGACAAGACCAACCTGATCGTCTACATCATCTGCGGGGTGGTGGCTGTCATGGTGCTCGTGGGTATCTTCACCAAGCTGGGGCTGGAGAAAGCGCACCGGCCCCAAAGGGAGCACATGTCCAGGTGGGCTGCCTCCCCTCGCCTCTCCTCCGGGCTTCACTTTCTCTTCGCTGCCTCCCCAGCTCGCCCCAGGCAGGGCTCCCCCACCCGGGCCTCTGCGCTGGGGGCTGTCACTAGGGGAACCAACTTTGGTTTCTCAGGCAGAGAAGGGGCTGCGGGCTGGGCACAGGTGGGAGTGACGGGGCGAGTGTGGCGTGTCTGACCCCTCACCCTCTAGCCACCACCTGCCGACAGTGACCCAGACGGACTTGGGGCGAGCAGGCGAGGAGCCCGTTCCCGAAGTCTCGGGTTTTGGGGAAGGCATCCATAGCACCCCTCGGGTTCCAGATGCTCCCCTCTAGGTAAACGGAGGCAGGCGAGTCCGACCGGGAAGGGGGCGTGTGTGAGCCCGTGAGCGCGTGTGTGACGGGAGGGAGCTAGGGAAGGAGTGAGTGCCGTAAGACTAGCGAGAAAGAGGCAGAGGAGGATCAGAGGGAAGGGGGGCGAGAACAAACCCTCGTTCAGGGCCGCCCCTCCCGCGTGGAGGTCTCCAGGCTTGGGACGTCACCCCCTGTGTTCTTTTCTCTCCTTGTCCCTTTATCCTGCCACCACCTCTCCTGCCCGAGGCAGCGGCCATCACCGCCCTCAGTGCCCTTTCCCCAGCTGGCTCAGACTCCAGGGTCCCCGAACCCCGTCCAAGACATCACCTCCTAAGCCCCCAGATTTCTCAACTTTCCCGTTTGCTGTATTCATTATGCAAGTCCCAGCAAATCGTAGCAGATGGAAGAAGGCATTTGGGGATTAATGGAGCTATTTGCCTTTTTCGTTTTCTTTCTTTCTTTTTTTAAGTGTCTAAACTGATTCGCACAACTCAGTAACTTTGGAGGCGGAGGACACAGCCCTGAGCAGCACGAAGCCTCGGCCGTAGGGGAGGAAGCAGCCAGGGGTTAGTGTGAGGTCTGGGAGGCCAGGATTGAAGGAGCGGCCAGCGAGCGTTCGTGTGGCTGGAGTGTAAGCCTTAACTGTCCCTTTCCGAGTCAGAGCAGGGAAGTCGCAGTGTCCCTATCCCTCCCCCCCCCACACCTCCGCGGGGGGCGGGGGCTGTGTGTGTGAGCGCGCGCGAGGGCGCGCGTGTGCGTGTGTGCCTGTGCTCCATGTGCATGCCTAAAAAATCTGAACAAAGAGACCCACCAAAAATAGGCGAAGGAACATCACCACCTCACTAGTAATTATTTTCTATTTATACACAGAGTATCCGATCATTTTTTCCCCCCAAAAGGGGAATGATTGGTGGGGAAGAGGTGAGGAAGTTCTTGTCGGTGGTGGGTGGTGAGGTCCTGCGGTACAGAAGTAAGCTCTAAGGGCTCAAGAAACCTTGACCTACTAAAGGAGTAAAGCGCTTGCACCGCCGGTCTCCCCTCTCCTACAACCCCAAGGGGCCCATCTCCAGTCCTAGCGCAGAGTCGTTTGTTTCACCTCTCGGTCCTAAGGCCAATCCCTGCTGACACCGGGTCCACGTTAAGGCGAGGGTGAGCAGAGGATGCAGGACTGCGGCAGCCAGGCTGCCTTGTAGGGAGACGTTACTCAGAGGCAGGTACATGGCCTCAGACCTCGCCAGCCAAAAGGCTCTTTGCTATGCGGAGCTGGGAAGGTGAGGAAAGGAGCTGTCCTCTGGGACTATGGTGTCCTGGAGAGACAGCTCTCCGTTCCTACAACAGGGCTCAGGAGGGGTCCGACTTCCTGGTTCTGTCCTTGGCAGTGCTGTTGGGGAGAAAGATGACTCCAGCTAACCGGGTTGCTGTTACAGTCTTCTTGTAGGTACCAGGAAAGGTCCCCTTACAAGCAGCAGCTAGCCTAGGAGTACCCAGTCTTGGGGTAGTGGCTCCTCAACCCAAGGTCTGCAGGTGGAAGGAAATGCTTACTACTGAAAAGAGAGAAATGTTGATTTTTTTTTTTTAAACTGTCAGCTTCTAAGCCGTAATCTTCAACCCTGCTGCTGTTTGGGATCACCTGTAGTGCTTTAAAAAATCTTGTTGCCAGGGCCTCCATTCTTGACTGGTTAAATCAGAATTTAGCATCTGTACTTTGAAAAGCTTTCCAGGTGATTCTAATGTTCAACCAATCTCTACTAAGGAAAAAGAACTAACACACACCTGCTGAGCACGAGCTGGGTGCCAGGCACTGTGATAGAGGGGTGTGTGTGCTTGTGTGCATGCACTGTGTGTGTATATATAAGTAAGCTCTCATTCTCACAATGACTCCGAGACAGGTGCTATTTTAATTACCATTTACATATGAGAAAATCACGGCACAGGTAAGGTGGCTTGCCCAAAGTCACACAGAAAATTGTGCACTTTCCAGTCTCCTGGTTTCACCTTGTACCTGGAGCAAATGTTTCAGATCAATCCCAGAATCTGGGGGAGCTTCCTAAAGCACAGATTCTTGAGTTCCAGCCCCAGAGATTGTGATTTAAGAGGTTTAGAGAGGGCCCTGGAAAATCGGCTTTTAACAACCGCTTTGAATTGCTCTGAGAACGTGGTCTACACTTTAGGGAAACATTGGTCTTGGATTTGGGAATATTCCAGAGACAAGAGATCAATTAATCCTAGAGAAAGGAGAAAGGCCAATGTGACTGTCTTATTTACATTCTGTTGCTTGCTTGTTTTCTCCTTGTATATAACCTTTCTGTGGTTCTTGGGCTTCCCCAGGATCCCTGCAGATGCATCATGCACTGCTTTTGAAGTTAATCTTTTGGAGTCCTAGGGTGGCACTTGGCTCCTAGTTTTTGCCTGATGGTGCTAAGGGGTTCTCAAGTGAGGGCCGGCCCACCAAGCTTGGCAGTGGGAAGGCTGCTGTGAGGCAAGGTGTCACCAGGTAGAGCTAATCTGCCATTTTTGTCTGGAGCTGTAACATTAAAAGGGGGTTTGTTCTCATTTGCCTAAAAGCACCTTCTCTTCCAGGACGTGGATGTGTGGCTGCGCTCCCATGCGCTCTTTATCCCTGCTGATCAGTAAGTTTGTGTTTTCCAGCAGAGGCCTCTGGCTATTGGTGTATAGGCGCAGAGTCCTGAGCATATGCTCTTCTTCCTCCTGAGCTGATTAGGGCTGAGAAAGATGGTCATTCTGGAGGGAAGAGGGGGCTTAATGTGATCTTGTAAGAACTGTAGAAATGCCCATGCCCAGTCACCAGCTGTGACAGCAGCCACAGACAACCCCTGTTTCCTGGGAGAGGGGACAGCAAGAGGTAGCCAGGTATGGTTACCAAAGTATGACTTTTTTTTTTTTTGGTCTGCAAGGTATTTCTATTTGAGCATTTTTGTTTTAAAGTTTTCTGTAATTTTTTATTGTGAAAATTTTTAACATACGAAAAACTTGAAAGAATAATAAAAACAACTCTAATATTTCTTCCTTTAGGTCAGGTTTTCTCAAACTTGGCACTGTTGACGCCTGGGTCTTGATAACCCTTTGTTTTAGGGGTCTGTCTTGCACATTATAAGATGTTTAGACTCCCTGGCCTCACCCACTAGATGCCAGTAGTATATACCCCATACTCCAGGCACAATAGTAAAAATGTTCCCAGGTATCATCAGATGTCGTTTAGGGACAAAATTACCCCCAGTTGCAAAACCACTAAGCTCATTTTTTTTGGTGGTACTGGGGTTGATTGAGCCCAGGGGTACCACACCACTGAGCTGTATCCCCAGCTATTCTGTATTTTATTTTGAGACAGACTCTTGTGAAGTTGCCCAGGCTGGCCACAAGCTTTCTGTCTTCCTGCCTCAGCCTCCTGGGTACCTAGAAGTCAATTTCACAGTTATTGTCATTTTTTTTCTCATACTCTCTGTGTATTTTTTCTTCTGTTCTTCTGTCTCCCCAGCCCACAACTCTTTCCCCCTAATTTTTCTTTTAGCTGAAGCATTTGAAAAAAGTCACTGACATGTCACTTTGTCCCTTCATAGTTCAGCATGGCTGTCCTAAGAACCAGAACACTTTCCCATACAACACAATCCCATGACCATACCCAAGAAAGCACACAAATTCCATGCCACATGTTCACTTTCCTAGGCATAGAAATGTCTTTCAGAGTTTGGAGTTTTCAAATCAGGATCTAATCAAGGTGTATTTAGCTGTAAAATCACTTTAATCTCTAAAATGTATGGCATTTTAATATCAACTTTGAATCAGTTGCCAATTTTTTCTTTTTTCTTTTTTTTTGGTACCGGGGGTTGAACTTGGGTCCTTGTGCTTGCAAGGCAGGTGGCAGAACCACTGAGCTAAATCCCTGGCCCAGTTACCAATATTTTAAAGCTGTGAGATTTCAAACAGAAATCCAGTTTCTGATTTCTTTTAAGAGTTTGGCAGGTTTGATGAGGTTGTATCAGCATTGTCACAGAGCAGTTGTTGGTTGTGGTTCAGGGGTAAATTTCCCTTTTAGGGAGCTCTTGAGCTGCCTTGGCCACTCCCATCCTCCCAGGTCACTCATTTATGCCATGCACAGACTCTGGAGAGTCAGGCTGGTTGGAATGGCGTGGGCTCTGCTTAGACTCCCTGCAGTTTAATTCTCGTTCAGCCACTTAATAGCTGTTTCACCCTAGGAAGGTTGCTTTACCTCTCTGAGACTAAATTTCTTTCTTTCTTTCTTTTTTTGGTACCGGGGATCGAACTCAGGTCCTTGCCCTGGCGAAGCAAGTGGCGAAACCACTGAGCTCAATCCCCGGTCCTCTGAGACTAAATTTCTTATTTGTAGGTTGAGCATTCGTTGAGGACCAGTTGTGTAAAGCACCTAACATGAGAATTGTCACGTGGCCACTATTCAGCAACTCTTTCCCATAATTTCTGTTGAAATTATCTAGTTCTAGTCTACCAAAGACAGTGATGTTGCTGTCTTGCTCTTGGTGGCCGGCCCTGGTCTGGGGCATTGCCCAACCTCCTACCCTTTCCAGCCTGGCTCTTGAATCTGAAGAGGGATTGGCAGGTTCAAAATAGGAGGGAAGTTTAGTGCAGGACTAGATTAAATGCATTGCA